TGCTGAGAGTGAGGCTGCAGTATTTTCAGTGTGATGATGAGTTTGATAGCTTTTCTAAACCAGGGGTAGAACAGAGCATAAATCAGAGGGTTCAAACAGGAGTTAATTAGCATGATCCAAAACAACACTGCAGAGAATGACGCGCTACTGGAGGTGTCCTTGCCTGATAGAGAGGAATAGTAAAACGGGCAGAAGCACATTAAAAACACAGCTATCACAATTCCAAGAGTCCTGGCTGCCTTCCTCTCTGATCTTTTAGCAGTTGGAGCTACCGTAACAGTTGTAGCAGCGGCCTGCAACCGAATGACACGCTGCTGAGAAATGGCAACAATAAACACCCTCATATAGAGAACAACCATGACAGTACAGGGCCCAACAAAGGTGATAAAAAGGTCAACAGTTCCTGAGATGTGGCTGATGACCACCACACACTCCCCATGGCAGGAGTTGAACCTATCCGGCTGCCTTAAGTGTCCCATCAAAAGCCAGCCGTTGTAGAGAAGAGCACAAGCCCAACATATACAGATACATGTTTTAACTCTGTTCAGGGTGATCTTTGTGGCATAGAGCAGTGGGTCACAGATAGCAACATAACGGTCTACGGATATGAGCACCATGCTGCCCACAGAGGCAGAGACCAGACAGAAAGAAACATAAGGAGACAGAGCACACATCACCTCTCCCAGCAGCCAGCATGTCTCCACGTGGTGCATTCCTTCGATGGGCATCACCAGCAGCCCCACCATCAGGTCGGACACGGCCAGAGACAGGAGCAGGGTGTTGGTCGGGGTGTGGAGCTGCCGGAAGTGGGAGATGGAGATGACGACGAGCATGTTGAGAGTCACGGTGAGCAGAGAGACGGAGGCCAGCAGGGTGTAGAGCAGAGCAGTCTCGGAGTGGGGCTTAGGCAGCCGCCTGCAGGAGGAGTTGAGGTTGGGAAAGCAGAGCAGAGAGCCCTCAGTGCTGTCCATCAGGGAGGAGGGAAGCAGGGATGAGAAATTATACTCTCCACTAGACACCTGATTTATCCTCCTAATCTCCCTCCCACTTTTACAATCAAAGAGATGATGTAACTTTTGTCCACCTCATCATCATCTTAAAGGTCATTAACCCCTCTCTAGTTTATTTTTTCACACTTATCTTTAGTTTTTTCACTCATATATTGTGTGTCAACCTACCACTTTCAGATCAGACATAAGGTCCCATATTATAAAAAGTGAGATTTTCATGAATTTTTTTGTTTTTTTTTAAATTATAAAGCAGCACCAAGTGCTGTGAGTCTTGAAACGCTACACAAGTTGTGCCTTTAAATGAGCTATTAGGTTTATACCCGGTTGCAGTGTGTGTGTGAATGACATCAGCTGACAGGAAGTAAACATGGACCCAAACTGCCTAGCAGTTCCGCTGAAGACAGATG